GAGACCTTATAAAGGGTCGCTATGAGTTGGAACCCTCGGAAACCCTGTACAGGGTCGCTATGAGTCGGTTCCGACTCCACGGCACATAACAACAACAACAACAATGAGTTGGAAACGACTGGACGACACTTAACAACAACAACATGCCAAATTGCAGCATCAAAGAAGCTGGTGCAGGAGGAGGCCTTCAGAATGATTTAGTGTACAAATGAGGGAAGCACAGAAATGCTACATAATTTTCCAAAGGCAACACAGTAGTGAAATCTATCCCAGGGCTGGGATCGACAGGCAGCTGAGCCCCAAAGGCCCACTCCGTGTGGACTGGCTTCTATAGTTTTTCCTGAAAAGAAAAATATAACAAGTCTACATTAAATCTCATTATTGTTGTTGTTAAGTGCCGTCGAGTCGGTTCCGACCCATAGCGACCCTGTATAGGATTTCCGAGGGTGTAAATCTTTACGGGAGTAGAAAGCCTCATCTTTCTCCCGTGGAGCGGCTGGTAGTTTCGAACCGCTGACCTTAAGGTTCACAGCCCTATTCGTAACCACTACGCTACTGGTTTTGCTTAACACCCCTCCCTGGTGTACCCTTCAGGACAAATTATTTGAAAAGTGTGTACCACAGTAACAAAACAGGAATAGTTGTGTGAGGTGCTTATATAGACCAAACAACAGTAGGAACACTTTAGTTTTATAGTAATTGGTCTTTACCTCTTCTTTGTGGGGACATAACCACATGATAAGCACTGGACAGTGAACCACAAGGTTGATAGTTTGAACCTACCAGCTACTCTGAGGAAGAAAGATGAGGTTTTCTGCTCCTTGAAAGATTTAAAGCCTCAGACACCCTATACAAGGTCACTATGATTCAAAACTGACTCGAAGGCACTTAACAACACCAACCCTCCTTTGTGGTACCAATAAGCCAGGAGGAAAAGTTGAATGTCAATTGAGAACACTTTTAATTTGAAATAATAAAATGATGCCATATCTATATTAGACTTTTGTTTATTAATATTATTATTTTTTTAAATCTAAGGGTGGTAGTTCAGCACATGTTAAGTAGCAAATTAGCATTTGAGCTGACTGTAGATGTCAGCTCTCCTGACTCTCAGCCCAGTCACTATGTGCAGGAAGTAGGAGGCTGGGTGCTGAGTTCCTAACCTTCTCCAGCATCCGGTTCAGCACAGGCCCTGGGTTTCCCAGGGATGGAAGGGGGTCCCTGCCCTTGCATCTCAGTGTCAGAGAAAAGTCATTCATGCATTCATTTATTCTTTCATAACTCAGTGCATTTATCACTGAGATTGTATCATCTCAGTAAAAGCAAAAATCTGGGTGCATGTTCAACTAGGGGGTTTAATATGCAAATTTATTTATCTGGAAAGTTCTTTAAAGTTTAGGTATGCAGCTAATCCATTACAAACAATTGCATACAATTAGGGTTATGTCTAAAAATATGGGCCGAATAGACCTACTCTAAACCCAGTGCCTATACCTCTGCACAGACCCACGTGTTAAACAAGGGGGTATTGTCAATCTGATTGAAAAGGGGAATATTTAACCAACTGATGGACAATCTGATGCTTGTATGTAAATGATGCTACTAGTTGCAAATGAGTTTTATCTATTACAGATAGTCCTTAAGTAGAGCTATGAAGAAATGTATTATTAGGTATAAGGCTGTAATTTTTTCTATGCTAAAAATGATCCATCAGTATTTCTTTTTTTTAGACTCCCATTTTATATGAGTACCTTTTCTTAAGAACCAGCAGTATTTCCTGAAGGACATTCAATAACTCAGATGTTTTGTGTTCCAAGCTGGTGCCAGGAGGAGCTACACTAATGAGATATTGAAGAAGTGTTTGTACAGGGGTCCTAAGTCATAGCCTCTGATCTCCAATATACTTGGGTATGACTATCAGCTCTGCCACTTTCTAACTGTGGATTCTTGGGTAAGGTAGGTCTGGTAGTATCCTCTCAGAGTTTTCTGTGAGGACTCCAGGCAGTAATGTCTGTGAGGTGTCAAGCACAGATCTAGTGTTAATAATGAAATCCATTTTTTCTGACCATTTTCTTCTAGTACTCTCTACCCCATCCCAAGTGCTTGTAGGGACGCTCTAGTCCAAAGGGCTGCTTCAGAGCAAGAGACCCTTGAGGCCACGGAAAAGAAGCAGAGCATCAGAATGAGAAGTGTGTTTAACCCTGATCACCTTGGTTACTGCTGGGGACAGCAACAGTTTCAGGCACGAAGTGCTCTGAGTGCATAACATCTTCCAGAATTTTAAATAGTTCCCTGATTACCTGGTAGGCAACATCACATCAAATGAACATTCCCTGAGTAATCCTCAAGAGGAAGGATCATTGTGCTAGACACTTTATAAGCTACATCTTCACAACAGCCCCACGAAGGAAGCATTGTTACCTTCAGTTTTCATGCAGGAAAAACCAAAGTTCAGAGAGGTTTAGTAACATCCCCAGGTTCACACAGCAATTGCAGACAGAGCAGATTGGAGATTCAAACTGAAATCAACATGACTCTACCACATCATGGTGCCATGCTCCATTTGTAATTCCTAAAACCTGTGGTGTGGTGTGTAAAAAATAAACAAGTGTAAATGGGGGAAGAGGTACTGAGAACAAGCCTGCACCACGACCTGAAGCATATGATGCTCTACTATAAACCCAAAGGGCAAAAGTCATGCTCCTTGTCAATTCCTGGGTGGAGTTCCCTAGCCAAATTGGGCTAAAGTATCATATTTTCAGTGGTAGTCAATTACCAGAGAAACTCTCTAAGTAATTTTTCCAGAAAGAAGGGCAAAAGGTCAATTCGAATTCACTGCACAACAGAGGGTAGCCAGGCTTAGAAGAACCAAGACCAAAGATCACATAACGTGATTCCATGCTTCACAGAGACACACATACTTGAGTTTAAGTCCCAGTTCCAACATTTACAAGCTATATCACTTGGAGTCTCGATTTCCTCATCTGTACAATGGGAATAATAACAAGAACATATTCCTGTCAAGGTTGTTGTGAGCATTAGTGAGATGACATTACATGCCAACATGAATCCTTTAGATTTTTGTTCCTGTGCTAGAAACGAGGACCTCAAGGTGGGAGTATGTATGAGGCTGACTGGTCTTTTAGCTATTTGTGCCTGCTTGTGATGTTTCTGCTATTTGAGCTCACAGGATGAAGAATTCACCAATTTAGTGCCCCCTGTCACATCCAAGTGCACCCCAACACTGATCTCTGCTTGGATCTGGTTTCACAGAACCAGATTGGATAGAAAAATATTTCGGAGTAGATATAAACCAAGAGGAGCATGCTCTGAGCTGCCTGTCTTCTTCTTAGCTGTCCTCCAAGGGCATTAATTATACCTGGGTGCCCCAGGGACACCAGGTTGGCTCAAAAAGGCATCTCTGTGTGGCTCTGCACAGTATGTTGGGTTGGCCACTCAAACTTTTTGTTCTTTTCTTCCTGTTGGGATTTCATTCACTAAGTCAGTAGGTTCCAGCCATTTGATCTCTGGTACAGGGCAAGCCACACCCACCTGCCAGCTGGGACTGATTTCCAGTGGATTTTCAGGATACAGAAGATAGGTGGCTGACAGCCCAATCCTTTACTTCCACCTATAGCTCCAGCTGTGCTTCCATCTGGCAAATTCTGGGGCGAAATACACACAAGACCGCGTGCACGCACGCACGCACACGCACACACACAATCCAAATGAAACGCAGCCCACCCTACCTTGGTCCCCAGCTGTTCTTTATCAAACACAGCTATCTGGGGATGGGGTTACTTGTTGCTCCTTGCCTGGGGCTTCAGGGGGCTCCAGGGGACACCTCGCTCAGCCCTGTTTACAGCAGAGACTCTGGTATTAGATCGTTCTGATTTCTGTGAAGTTCCAACATCTCTCCTGCAGAAATCCCATACTGGTGCTGACCTGAGAGCTGAAATTGGTGCAAAGAAACGCTGCCTCCATCCCATACCTGGCTCCTGGGAGTTTATCCACTTCCTCCCTGCCATCTATGGGGGGCGGGTGTCACGTCTTCACTTGAGTGAGAAGCCCCCATTAGCTCATTCAAAAAAGGCCACAAAAAAACTTTCGCCTGGTCACCACCTCCCACCTGCCCTTTCACCCCCGCCCTCTTTGCCACCGGGTTCCGGTAGCAGCCTAGTGGGAGGAGGGGGTAGGGAGGCAGGCTCATTGCCTTGTGGGTCTCTCTTTTCTTCCGGGAGGCAGGGGAGAAAAGCGTGCCCCGTTGGAGTCCCTCGTATCCTTCACCAGCGTCCGTGGTCCTCGCCTCTCCGCGGCAGCGCGCTGCCTTCTCTCCGAGACGCTAGCCGCGGCCGCCTGCATTTGGCAATCTGCCCAAAAAAGGGGGCCTGGAGGAGGAGGAGAGGAGGGACGGAGGCCGGCAGCGAGAAACGGAATCTGGAGTCCAAAACATCACGGGAAAGGAACGGAGCGGCGGCGGCGGCAGCGGCTCTGAAGGCTCTGTCGCTCCCACCGACCGCAGTGCATCAGCGTGGCTGCCCTGACAACCTCGAGGATGCTTAACACGGGGCATTATGCACTGGTTAACAGGCTGCGAGCTGCTGAGCGACTTGTTTTAAGCATTTTCTCCCTCGCTCTCGCTTTTAATCTTGTCTCTAGTGGCGTGTGTAGGGGGGAGGACTTTATTTCCATTGGCTAAGCCTCTCCCTTCCCACCCACATCCCTTCCACATCACCTTGGTGTCTCCCTAAATAAAACCAGCCCTCCTTATCGCCTGGAAAAAATCAGGAGCTAGAGTTTGAATGGGGTTTTTGAACACTCACCTCTGCCAGCGTGTGGCTGGGATCTCAGGATAAACTCACAGCGGCGTCTGGCCTGATGCTTTTTTGGCTTGGTTCTTGCTCTTGAACATCAAGGTTTAAGTCCAGCCCGAGGACTGGGAGCTCTTCCCTGGAAATTTAAGCAACCTGAAGCCAGTTGTGGAACTGCACAGGGTCCCCATGGACCTCAAGGAGAGCCCCAGCGAAGGCAGCCTGCAACCCTCCAGCATCCAGATCTTTGCCAACACTTCCACTCTCCATGGCATCCGCCACATCTTCGTGTATGGGCCACTGACCATCCGGCGTGTGCTCTGGGCTGTGGCCTTCGTGGGTTCCCTGGGCCTGCTACTGGTGGAGAGCTCCGAGAGAGTGTCCTACTACTTCTCCTACCAGCACGTGACCAAGGTGGATGAGGTGGTGGCCCAGAGCCTGGTCTTCCCAGCTGTGACTCTCTGCAACCTCAACGGTTTTCGCTTCTCCAAGCTCACTACCAATGACCTGTACCATGCCGGGGAGCTGCTGGCCCTGCTGGACGTCAATCTGCAGATCCCAGACCCACACCTGGCTGACCCCACAGTGCTGGAGGCACTAAGGCAGAAGGCCAACTTCAACCTCTACAAACCCAAGCAGTTCAGCATGCTGGAGTTTCTGCATCGCGTGGGCCATGACCTAAAGGATATGATGCTCTACTGCAAGTTCAAAGGTCAGGAGTGTGGCCACCAAGACTTCACCACAGTGAGTACTTGGCTTTCAGCTCACTCTTGCGTTTGGTCGTCTTGAGAAGCGGTTCGCCAGTGGTCTCTTGCTTTGTTTGAGGGTTCTCCTTGTGCCTTGGAACAGAAGAGAATGCATTATCTCAGTTGAAGACCGAGAGGGTAGTGGCCAGGTTTGTTGGAACTGATTGTAGAAGGTTGTCTGCTTGGATGTTCAGACATGGAGGATGAGTGGGTAGCTGGCCACCCGTACAAGTCACTTCAGTAAATGGGTTGACTTGGTTTCCTCCTAGCCTGGGCTGTCCGTTGTCCAGGATACTTGGTGTCCGAGCTGTGTGATTGGAACAGCTTGTCATTGACGAGGTGGTATTTTTGTCTCTCTGTCTGCTCGGAAGTGGCATCAGGCACTGCATCCTGTGGGCTGGGCGGGAGCTAAAGCTGCCAGGGAAGGGGATGTGAGGCCCCAGGCAGCCTGGATGGCTCCCGCAGCTTTGGGGAGCTTGCTAAAGCGGGTGATGCTATAAAGGTGTGGAAGTCTGTTTGCATCCTTATCTTGTGTGAGGGAAAAGAGAGGCAAGAGACCCTGTGTCTCCATCTGGTCTGCTGACAGGTCCGGAGCAGAGAGATGTCCAGGGTGTTTGGACAGAGAGGAGGGTTTGCATGAAGGCACGTGTGTAGGATAGCCAGCGAGATGCTGCCTAGGTCCATGAATCAGTCCTAGCTGGCTCGTCTGGGAGCTTCAGGTCGAAACTCAAAGCCTCGGTTGCTGTATGTACAATCACTGAACAACGTGGATGAGAAGGGGAGTGGTGTGGGGAGGGGTCGAGTAACTGGGATTGGAACGCTTGGAGAAGGAGAGAAGGAAAGTGGAGGGGGAGGTGGCTCACAGGTAAGATGGGGTTTACTGGAGAGGCAGAGAAAGGAGGAAGGTGGGAGGTGAGTAGTTGCTTGTAGGGTTCTGTCTCTCCAATTAGTAGACATAATAGATCAAACAAGAGCTGTAGACATCTTTGGTGGGAGGCAAGTTCGGGTACTAGGGGCTGTCCAGTGTGACTGCTACCCCAATGGCCGGCCGCTTCAGGGAGCACAGAGAGCTTTGAGTCCCTGCACCTTGAGCCAAGATGCAGTTGTAAGTTTGGGATGGCAGGTACAGCAGTGGCAGAAGGGACTGTCTCAGCACTTGTCTGTGGTCTCCTGCCTAATGAAGACATGCATCCATTCCCCGCCCCCTCTCAGATTTACGGCTTCCCAGCCTCTTGCTCTGAGTTTCTTTCAATTCTACAGCCAGTCTGTCTCTGTCAGCAGCCTCAGTGCTTTGTTGGATACCTCTGATTCTGGAAAAACCCAAAGTGTTGGGGTCATGAGCTCTTGCACCTTGTATGCTAGAGCTGTGTTTTCCTGGGGAACCCGTTTGCATATTATTCATCTTAAACAATATGAGGAAGAGCAGAGCAAGAGTAAGGTTAGTAGTATATGCCAAAGATGAAGCCAGTTTGAGCTAGGGGAGGGATCTACAGTACTAGAAATCCTTCTGAATGGAGCAAACTGGATCCTATAACATGTTACAGACGAATGATGTCTTAGGCAGCTTGGGGAGAGAAGGAAAAAATGTCTCATTCTTGGAGACTGAAACCATGAATGTATTCCACCCCATGCTTTCTAGCGCCGTGGCAACGCTTAGGTTTCCCACTGCAACATGCAGCTTGTGTATGTTCTCAGCTGATCCTCTGTCGGTCTGAACACACATGGAACAGCAGGGCAAGGGAAGACGTCAGCGAGAGGCTGGTACAGCGGGAAACTGCAATAAAGCAGTAGATCCTGCTCTGAGTTCTCCCAGTGGCCTCATGACCACATGTCCAGCCAGTGGCTTCCTTTGAATTCCTGACCAAGTGCTATTTAGAGACAAAGCTTCTTTGACCCCAGACTTGTTCTGCAGGTGGTCCCTCACTTGAGTTGCTGAGGTCCCAGAAGTCAAAAAACATTACCAGAGCCTTTGACCTACTCAGGATGTCTTCTAAATAGTGAAGCTGTCTGTAGATAATGTGTATTATTATTCATTGAGTGGAATGTCATTATCTGTGATCCTCACCAAGTTCAAGACTGATTGGGGTGAAGCTCCCTCCTTAGGCTGACCTCCCCCAGGATGGAGAAGGGGACAAGTCTCAGTGCTACATCTTCAAGCTGTAAAGGGAGTGTCCCAAAGGGCACTCACCCTGGGAAAGATAGAAGGGCTCAGTGTGAGGCTGATCTTCCTCACCAGCTGACCACATGAGCAGCTATTCTCTGCAAATGGTGACAAGGTTGCTTCAGACCCTGCAGTGAGGGTCATCCTTTGGGCCCACCCTTGCTCTCCTGTCTCCTTTTGGCTCTGGGTATATGTGTGCTTATTCTTGGGCCCCCACACCAGAAGAAAGCGGAGCTCCTGGGAAGGTGGTGGTCAGACAAGCCAGTTTATCAGTCTTCTTCCAGCCATTCACTCTGCTGACGATCCCTCTCCAGTGTGGCTTATTTATAGGCTCTGTATTTACTATTCTGGTTGGCTTTCCCCACTCCCCCTCTCCCCACCCCTGCCCCATCCCCAGCGCCCTGGCTGGCTTGTTAGAGAACTTAAGAATGGAGAAGGAGTTGGCACATGTGGACTGCTTCTTCCGTTTTTCTCTTTGTCTTTTCCTATAAAGCATACTAGTGGTATCTCCAGGGCTAATACTTCAGCATAAGCTTCCTTATTTCAAGTTCTTAGCTGGTGTGCAGTGAAGTGCATAATACCCTTTAATTAGTGAACGGAGCCATGAGTCTTATCAGAGTCAGTGAAAGAAGGCTGTTTGTGGAGGTTGTCAGTCCCCAGGAAGCCAGGTGGGGAATGCCAATTGCTCTGTAAACAGGTATGCTGGATGCTCATGCAGCTATTCTCCTAGCTTTCACCTGGGACAATCTGACTTCAAACAGGCACATGATTTTCCCTCCTGAACAATCAAAAGAGAGCTTTGATTTCATAGCATCTGCTCTGTGGGGATTGCCCCATTGGCTGGAAGAAGAGATGGGGAGTGGAAGGGAAGATGGTGGGGCACTGGATGGGAGTTGAGGAGGGATGGAGAGGCAGCCTGCCATGATATTGGACGATCAGTCAGAGCTCAAGATTACGAGTAGGAGGATAGAGGTCATTTTCTAGCTTTTTCTTTGTGTTGTATCCTGTACCCTCTTAGGCCTCAACGTGTTCATCTAACAGGTGATGGTAATAATGTCTTAATTTCAAACTCATGGGGTTGTTGGGAGGATCAAGCGTAAGAGGCAATATTCATGAGTCTTTTTCTACATTGTGACAGCCATACAAATGTAAGGCAGGATTGCTATCCATATTAGCTCTTGTTGTTAAGTGCCTTCAAGTCAGTTCTGACTCATAATGGCCCTGTATAAGGTTTCTGAGGAGTGGCTGGTGGATTTGAACCACTGACTTTGTGGTTAGCAGTCCAGTGCTTATCCTATAGCACCACACCAAGACTCCATCAATAGTTTGTTTTTGTTGTTGTTGTTAAGTGCTGTCCTGTTGGTTGCGACTCATAACCCTGTATAGGGTTTCTGAGGAGCACCTGGTGAGTTTGAACCACTGACCTTGCCGTTCCAGCGGACCTTGCAGCCCAGCATATTAGCCCGCAGTGCCGCCTCAGGACTCCATGCCGGCAGTATTAGCAGGAGGGATATTACTGCCCAGTATTCCTGCCCAGTTGTCAGGCTTGACCAGGGGTGCTGTGATGGATGAAGCCAGGGAGGGAGAGGTAATAGCTCTCTGTTTGAAGCCCTGGGTTAAATGAGATGTGGTCACTTAGGGAGGAGGTCATAGGAGGGCTCAGTGGCTAACTATTGCAAACGGGCAGTCACCCCACTGTTTGTGACTCACATGTGACTGTTTCTTGTTGTTTCTCTGCTCGTCATATTGGGGTTCACCTGCCTCCCGAATTCAGAAATGCAAATGACACTCATTTATATGTCTAACCTGATTTCCGTAGTTGTGTGTTCATACTTTAAACTTGAGATTTCTTAAGAAAGGTTTTCCTTTCTTTCCGTTCACCAAGAAAGGCCTCTTGTCTCCATAGTAAGGTCTTGTTAGAGACACATCTGTGGATTTTATTCGTCGACATCATGTAGCATTAGAGAGATGGTGGAGATGGGGGTTTAGGAAATGCTCATCTTTCAGATTCTTGCATAAGGTTGGATGGGTCCATAGTTAATGACCTTTTATTACATGGAGAGCACATACGTGAATAATTTGGGCTTCAGGGAGAGATCTAAATTCATCTGGAATTTCCTCTCCCATCTACTCACTGTGGAATCTTGTATATATTTTAAAATCTGTTTCCCTGTCTCTCAAATCTAAACACTCATACTTATTTAAAGTGGTGCTAATTCAATGAGAGTTACTAGTACAGGGCAGCCCTTTGCTTTGCCTACTGCTCCATAGGAGTTGCTAAGAGAGCGTGAGCTAAACTTTGGCTCTCCTGACTCTCAGTCCAGTACTCTTCCCATGATTCCATACTGCAATCTCAACAAAAACTTTAGTGTGTAAGTAACTACTGTGTTTTGGGGGATTCTTTTTTAGTTTTTTAAATAATCTTTTATTGTGTGTGTGTTTTTTTAATGAAGGTTTACACAGAACCTAAAGTTCCCATTCAGTCATTTCTACACTAAATGATCCATGACGTTGGTTACATTCCTTCGAAACAATCTCAGTATTTCTAGTCTGGTTATGCTGTTTCCCTAATCTAGTTACACTACCCCCTTACATTATCAAGACAATGGTCTTAGGGAGACCTCCAGCCTCAATCAGTCCACTAAGTCTGGATTTTTAAAGATTTTGAGGGTTTGCTTCACTCTGATCAGACTGTTCAGTAGCGTAGCTGGGCACCATCTAGGTATTTCTAGGTCTAGGGTAGATGAAGAATCCTGGTGCTGCACTGTAGGATGAACAACGGACTGCAAGGTCAATTTGAACCATGAGGCTGACTGTTCAAACCCACCAGCCGCTTCTTGGAAATACTGAGTTGCTATGAGTAGTAATCCACTTAACAACACTTAACAATAACAGTAACATACATGGGCGCTACGGGCATCATGTTGAATACTGCCCATAGTAAGTGCTCAGGAACGGTTTATTGATATTAAATAGTTCCTTGTGGCTTCCTAAATTGACCCCAAATCTTTTGCTCAAGTCCCTTTCTTAATTTCCTTTTTGTACTTCTCTTTCCATGACTGGTGATGCAGAGGTTAAGTGCTCTCAACTGCTAAATAAAAGGTCAGTGGTTCAAATTCACCAGCACTTTGTAATGTAAACATGTGGCAGTTGGCTTCCTTAAAGATTTACAACTCTGGAGAGCCTGTTCTGTCTTAGAGGGTTGCTGTGAGTTGGAATAGACCCAGGGGCCATAGGCTTTTTCTCCATGACTGTTTATTGAAATCCTGTTGTCTTTAGTTGCTGCCAAGTTGAGGTGGACTCATAGCTACCCACGTGTGCTGCATAAAACTGATAAGGTGATCAAGGCTGTGATCTTTTGGAATCCCACTTCCAGGTCTATCTTCCGAGGTGCCTCTGGTGGGTGTGAACCATCAACCTTTTGGCTAGTTGAGTGCTTAATATTGCTATGTCCTTCTCCAGGATGTCATTGCCAGCACCCTTTACAGTTATAATTTAACTTAATCTCTTTCTCCCCTGTGTCATTCTGGGTTATTTCTCTGTTAAAGCAATCAACTCTTCTATTCTCTTCTATTCTTTCAGTTAAATTCATGAAGTGTTTGGGGCTAAGAGGGTCCTGAAAGATTATTACCTTTTGTACCTATGCTTTGTAAACAACTGACCATTTCCCACATTGCCTCTCCTCCCTGTAAGACAGGCTGCTTTCTTCACCTTAGTAGTCTCAGGACCTAGACTCCCTTAGCACATCCTAGTTTGCCATCAAGTTGATTCCAAATCATAACGAGCCCATGGGTCCCAGTTTAGAACTGTGCTCTCTGTAGGGTTTTTAGTGGCTGCGTTTTCAATAGTATTACAACAGGGCTTTCTTCCAAGGCTTCTCTGGGTGGACTTGAACCTTCAACCTTTTGGTTAGCAATGAACAATAACTGCTTACCACCCAGGGACTCCACTTAGCACATAGAAAGCTCTAAAAACATATCTCAGAGTTCTGTGAAGTAGGTTTGAGTGGTTTTGTTTGTACGCCAACAGGTACTTGACAATCACCTGCATTGAGATGCCTTGTTCCTATTATTGTTACTTTTTTTAGAATATGTTTTCTGATGATAGAAACAATCCCTGCTCATTGGAGAACACTTGGGAGGTATGTTGTTGTTGTATGCATGCTAGTCAGTTGATTTTGACTCACACAGGACAGAGTAGAACTGTCCCACAGGGTTTCCGAAACCGTTTTTTGTTTATTTTTTGAAACTTTTATTAATTGAGTGAAGGTTTACAGAACAAATCATCAGTTTTAGATCTAAAAAATCACACAGTTTGTTTCATTTGAATGATTGCAATCCCCTCCATGTAACAACAGTTCTCCTACTTCCTCCGTGTGGTTCCTTATTTCCATTTAACCCTCCTGGCCAACCCCTGTGAACCTTGTCCCTACGTAAGTGTGGCCCTTTGGATCTTGAGTGGCTGCCCACTCCATGGTGAACATACCTCACTGATGGACTTACCCACCTACCACTTGGTTGAAAATTGGGCCATGAGGGTGAGTGAGTTCTGGTCCAGATCTAAAGGGTGGCCTACAATCATAGTTTCAGGTTCATCCAGTCTCTTTCTGACCTGTAAGCCTGGTTGTTGTTGTTGTTGTTAGGTGCCATCGAGTCAGTAATGACCCATAGCGACCTTATGTACAGCAGAATGAAACACTGCCTGATCATGGGCCAACCTCACTATTGTTGCCATGTTTGAGTCCATTGATGCTGACACTTGGCAAATTCATCTCGTTGGGGGTTTTCCTCTTTTTCTCTGACCCTCCACCTTACCAAACATGACATCCTTCTCCAGCAACTGGTCCCTCCTGACAATATGTCCGATGTATGAGAGACGAAGTTTGGCCATCTTGGCCTCCAAGGAGCACTCTGGCTTCACTTCTTCCAAAATGGATCTATTGGTTCTTTTGGCAGCCCATGGCATTTTCAATATTCTCCTCCAACACCATAACTCAAAAGCA